ACAATAATAACGTACTTCCACATTATGGGAAGTTGGTATAACCCCACACCCGTCATTGTTGAATATTCGATAATAGCGTGGATTTCCCCAACAATATATTTTCATTTTTTGTTATCCTCTCCCATGCCGTTGTACATAAGCGGCTTGTCGCGGATATGTCAATACTACTACTACTGCTGTGACTACTACTCTTCTTTCATGGTGTTGTGCACAATAAAACCGTTCTCAAGTACTCAGTAGTAGTAGTAGTACTTGTAACTAATGTCAGTAATGACGTTACTACTACTACTACTTGTAGTAGTAGTTATCAGTCAGCGTTACCACGTGACCTGGTGACTCTCAGCACTTGTATTGAGTTGTACTTGTAGTACTTTGTAGTACTACTGGTAGTGGTAGTCAACAGTCAGCGTGACCACGTGACCTGGTGACTCTTCTGCCCAACAAGTCAAGTAGCTGTAACAGTTAAACTACCGGTCATGCATGTACATGTACATGTAAATGATATCAGTGGTCGTCGACGGGTCTGTCACAGACTCGCAGTCTGCTCCACACCATAGTACATTATGTACATGACATTGTACTGTCGTGGACATAGAAATCCGGTCGCACGTCTAGCGGCCATGCCGCCATGGCATGCAGTATTACCAGGGGTCTATACGACTCCCTGGTATTACTATTACGCGCTGCTGCTGGTCGCATCGTATCAACATGTGCGCTGCATGCAACGACGACGTACGCGCTGAGGGCGCCGGCCCCGGACAATCGACTGGATTTCCATGTCCGCGACAGTACAATACGTATGCGCTTTGCTTTTGATCATGTTGATCAGACAGGCACTGTACAGTGAGTTGGTTAAAGAGCATGATTGAAGTACAATGTACAGTGAGTTGGTTAAAGAGCATGATTGAAGTACAATGTACAGTGAGTTGGTTAAAGAGCATGATTGAAGTACAATGTAAAGTGAGTTGGTTAAAGAGCATGATTGAAGTACAATGTAAAGTGAGTCTGGTTAAAGAGCATGATTGAAGTACAATGTACAGTGAGTTGGTTAAAGGGGAAGTCCGGTGAAAAATTTAAATTTCACAGTCCGTAGAGTTCGGGTCACTGAGTCGAATGGTCTTTGTCCGAGGAGGCTGCGGCCTATGGTTCGTCAGATACGCCCAATCGAACATGTGCGAATTTGAGCGCGCATCACCCAGATCCAGGTGATGACGTCACAGCGTGCAGCCAGGTAGCCACACCTTCTAGTCGTGTACAAAATGGCCATATTCGGAGCGCGTTCGATTGGGGAACCGTTTGTCGCAGCTTCTTCGGACCAAGACCATTCGATTCAGTGTTACAAACCCTACGTACCCTGTGATTTTCAGCTCGCTAAACCTCGAGGTTATACCGTATTTTAGCCGTTTCCGAGTTGGACTTTTTCCGTCAGCATGCAATGGCCTCTACTCTAGTCTACGGCTCTAGCAATGCGCTGCGTGCAACGACGTGCATGCTAGCTGTAGTGCAGTCAACAAGCTCATCACACACGGAACTACTCCAGCACTGCCGTGCTGAGTAGTATCTACAACAAGACTCCAGTCCAGACACAAGACTCAGAAAACTAGTCAACGCACGGACTTGTCATGTACTACACTCGCATCAGTCGTCCAGTCATGTAGTCAGAGAACATGCGTTTCTCCTTGCCGGTGCCGGTGGTTGTGCTTTGAGAAAGAAAATTTTAGTTTTCCGCTCCAGTCCCGCCTCATTATTTTATGCTACAGCGATGAGTGCACAACCGTGACAAGTGACAAAACAGCGAACAGCTCCAGGACCTAGAACTTTCAGATTCCATAGCGTTGCGAGCGAAGAGTCGTGCCCGTGGTTCAAAGAGCCTGCAGTGTTCTCCAATTGAGTAGTCCGAAATATGCCAAGTTCGCACCAAAACATCACCATGTGGCAGGCTACTGGAGTCTAAGTGAATCGGTATGGAACAACATTTAGAGCACTCGCATCACTCTTCTCCATTTTGGCGACCCTGCTCTCCAGCGATCTGATAATTATATCAGCCTCGTCAGCAATAGCTGCTGTTTCTTCATCAGTCGGAAACTCAGAGCGCTCACTCTTGACCGGCCCGCGCGGCCATTTCTTCAGCTAAATACCGAGGTTCTCAGCCCCAGACCAAACTCATGAAGGTCAGCCATGGCTGCATCCTCACTCTCACAAGGAGTTAGGTCTTCGGGGTCGCTTGCACCAGCTAATATCAGTCGCCAAATCATTTGAAATAGCACTGACACTATTGCTTTCACGCACGACCTAGCTGCACGCTATGACGTTGCGGAGGGTGTGGCGCGGCCGCGTGACGTCATGGCGCAGCCCCCAAACTCAGTTTTTCAAACGGAAATATCTCGAGAACGCTTTGTCGGAGACACGTGGGACCAACACCATTCGACTCAGCGCCCGAAACTCTACCGACCCTGAAATTTAAATTTTTCACCGGACTTCCCCTTTAAAGAGCATGATTGAAGTATAATGACGTCATGTACTACTGCGTACTACTAGTGTACTTGGTTCAAGTCATCATGCGGATCAGCACTTGTGCCTGCAGTGGTTGTAGACTTTTTGGTATCCCCTCACACCCACCGTTAGGCGCTGCATCTGCCGCTAGGGGGTTATCACAATATCAGGTTGCCCGGTGTTCAGCCGCCGTCGTGAGTTCGCTTTGGGAACGGAAACGATAACTTTATAGAAAAGAAAAAGGACCAAGGAACTACAAGCTACGCTATAATGTCCACTAACACCACCAGTTACTAAAGAATCAGCTCATGCGATAACATTGCACGACACTGACCGACGGTGCTGGCGTTCTACAACTAACTGGCTAACAGCTCTCGCACATCTTGGATGTGCACTCCAACAGCCTTCCAACTTGGAAGGTTCAAAGTTACAGAAAAAAACAACAGGAGGGGATGGTGAGCGCAACGCAGACAAGCACGAGTGGACATTATAGCGTAACTTGTAGTTCATTGGTCTTTTTTCTTTTCTATAAATTTATCCTTGGCTCTCCATTCGAGTGAATTCTTGGAAACGATAACCTTCAGCATTTTCCGTATTTGTACGGAAAACCACTCCTTCGTCCGCACTACGAAATTTGAGCTAAATGGACGGGAAAATTGAAGAGGATCGATCAGCTAAAGCTACATCACTACATGTATGTATGCAGGCGGCAAGGCAAGCGCAAGCTGTAAGCGATGAATATCCCTGTGTCAATGCGAGTGTATGTCGTTCTTCTTCGACAACATGTACATGTAGCAGCAAAAAACAGGTCGTGGTACCAAGAGTACATAACCCCCCAGAGTGTGCAACGCCGATCCAGATCTGTGTATGGTCTTGGTCGAGCGGAATCGGATTTTCTGATGTCATGCGTACACTTCACACCAGCGCAAGGCCGGTCTCGAGGCAGGGCACCATTGTTTTTGATCCAAGAGTACCCGCGACTCCCCGGGTTCCCCTCAGATGTGTACGGTATTATGACGCAAAGATCCGATTCCGCTCGACCAAGACCCTATGCAGAGCTGGATCAGGCGTTGCACACTCTGGGGGGTTATGTACTCTTGGTGGTACATGTCATACATTTTTGTTGTTCAACTTGGGGCAGTAGGACTACATACACCCCCCCCCCCCTCACCCCGGCCCCCCACACACACCAGCCCATGGCTGTATATTTTATTTTTATTTTATGAGGACGGAAGGATCAAGAGGGGTAAGTGGCAGCATTGAGGTCAGCCGGAGAGCGCAGCAGTGTGGTGTGGTGGTTGATAAGAAGGAGGGAAGGAGAAAGAGGTAATGAATGGTGGTTGCATTTTTTTTGGTGTTTAACATTATATTTTTGACAAGACGGAAATGGAGACTACTCTCAAAGGGACGAACAAGAAGACTGACAAAAGGTCTCTGGATATAAATGAAAAATGAATGTAAAATGCCTTGCCCCATTGATAAATGGAATGTAGTATGTGTAGGTATACTTCCCACCAAGCACAAACACCAATTTATTGAAGTTTTAAAAAGATCACCCAGAGGCTCTAGGCCTGTCCAGGGGATCTCCCACTCACAGAAATATCAAGCATTCGTGAAAGAGTAACAGAGTTCAAGAAGAAAAACAGATTAATAAAAATAATAGAAAGGAAAAGGGACAATGGGTAGATGCTAGATGGTCGCGCATGAGAGATGCAGAATGAGAGAGGAGAGGAGGGAGGGAAGACGCTAGCGGGGCGCTGGTCTATACCGTTTTATAGGGCGTCGGTGACTCGGTGGTTGTTTGCCAGTTCAACCTGCAGCAAATACTTGTTGCACTTTTCACGGTGGGGGGGGGGGGGGGGAGGGGCATTTACTCTTGGTACTAGCCATTCTGAAAACCTCTGAACAAAAAAAAGACAGGAGATGGGCTCGGCGCTTCGCGCACCAAGAGGCAAGATCATGTACGAAAATGGAGGCATAGCATTTCGCCCTCACGCGTCTCACAGAAACAGCAAAGAAAGCGCATGGCTAGCTAGCTACAATGTCAATGACCATGATGACTACAATCACATGTATGTATGTAATTATGCACATGTATGTCATGTACTGTAGCGGACATGGAAATCCAGTCGATTGACGCGGGGCCGGCGACCTCAGCGCGCGTACAGAACGCTGCGTGCAGTGCACTTGTTGATCTGATGCGACGATCGCGCTAGCGCTGCATGCAGCGCATGTGGGTGCAGCTTGTCCACGGCTGCATGGCCAGCGCCCTGGGGCCGCTAGACGTGCGACCGGATTTCCATGTCTACAACAGTAGCTGCGCATTATTCACACACAGCGCACGTGACGTGCGCACATGCACCGACTAGATTGTAGACGTAGACCATGGTAGACAGACAGACTGAGTGCATGTGTGTAGTGCACGACATGACCAGGATGATAGGCATGTCGACAGCGCACTAGCGCACTGTACATTCGGCAAAAAAGACATGAAAGAAAATCAAGCTCAAGCTCAAAGTGCAAAAACACAGTCGACTACATAGTCATAAGTCATGATCATGATCATGTTGAAGAAAATCATTCAAACGAAGAGAACTAACTAATGAAAGATACAGGTAGGAGAGAAGTTTAGAGAAGTACAGGAACGAAGAAATGGAGAAGAGAAACGTTGTTGAGATGAAGCGTAGAGAGAAGAGCAGAGAGACCGACTGGAAAGAAGTTCTACAGAAGACTTGAGGGTTGAAGAAAGGTGAGAGGATAGACAGAGCGACAATAGCAAAGATATAGTCGGCAGCGAATTCAAAGAATGTGGATCTGGTTGACAAGCTCCACCATCAGGTAGGAATGGCATGTATGAATGCGCTTTGCTTTTGATTGCTGTACGCTATATGCGTGATCTTGTAATGGTAATTGTTAGTTCTGGTCTGGCTCTCTGCTGTCAGCCTTGTGTGCTGTATACTGTATCATGTTCCATGCACTATCCATAGTCCGCGGTAGTGTCTGCTCCAGAGCCGGGTCAAGCGGGGGTCAGTGACCCGTTGCGGGGGGGGGGGGGGTATTTGGACCCGTTTTGGAAGAAGAACACCGGGTTGCTTGTACCCTGGTTGGGAGTCATGTCGAGTACTTCAACTTCAAGGGGGTACACACTGATATGATGCGAAGACCAATCAGGGACGAATACGTACAGACCACATGACCCAGACCAAGACAACCAGACCACGGACGCACCACTGATCACCCTCGCTCTCTGACAAAGCTAGCACTACGAATGCAAGTCAGTCTCTGACTATACACACTCTTGCATGCACCTCATACAATACACGGCACACATCCTACTATACTCACATAAAGACTAGACCATGACGTCAGACACTGGATTCTACAAGACAAGAACCATATACGACAATGTGCGTAAATAATAATTGAATCGTATTTCGCACCATATAGATGTGTGTATGTGGGGGGGGGGGGGGGTGGGGGTGGCGTGCCTGTGTGTGTGCGAGAGAGAGAGAGAGAGAGAGAGAGAGAGAGAGAGAGAGAGAGAGAGAGAGAGAGAGAGAGAGAGAGAGAGAGAGAGAGAGAGAGAGAGAGAGAGAGAGAGAGAGAGAAAATAGCATTCACTGGCCAGAAAAGCCACGTCAACCAGCCGTGTGGTGTATACCAGGCTAATTCTTTTTTTGACTTTGTTGTATTTTGCAAATCCCAACGGGCATTTCTTCCCAATAAGAAGGTAGTGAAGTGGGAATAAAAAAGAGAAAAAATGTGATAGTCAGCTGGAGATCAATAGTATTGATCCATTGTCAAACATGGCATGAGCTACTGTTGCCGGTATTGAACAAGGAATACAACATGCACAGTCTGGGACCAATAGTGTAAGGGGTACCACTGCAGCTTTGAACGTCCAGCGTTGTGCTGGAGCGGACGTCTATAGGTAATCTGTTCCATTTTTCTGTAGAGAAAATGAGGTTGCGTTTGTTCGGTGACATTCCGACGACATTCCAAAGTCCTTCCGCCGTGTTTTGGTTCGGGTGCATTTGTTTGATGCACGTGACAGTGTTTGTTAAGTGCAGTTCCGATTCCGGTTGCGAAATGAATGGAGCAGAATTGATTCTGTGTATGCATGCCTGTGCATGGATGGATGTGACAAGGCCGTCACAGCCACCCCACTTTTTCGCCTTTTTTTCGGAGCACACGGCAACAGAGCGCGATATTCGCAGCTAAGTGCAACCGTGGCAAATAATGAAGAATGCTTGTCCCCAATCGTGGTTTGTTGCAGAATGAAAACGTCATTCATTGCAGTTACACTGAAATGGCACCAAATGCCTGAAAATGCTTGCAATTGGCTTCAATTTTTGAAATATTTCCCCGGCGGAGGATACAGTAAAGAAGAAATTCTTGTCCCCGATCGTAGTGTCTTCTTGGATTGTTGCCGAATCAAAAGGTCGTTCATTGTAGTTCCACGGAAATGGCACCAAATGCCCGGAAATTCTTGCAATAGGCTTCAATTGTTGAAATTTGTTTGCCGGGGAGGCCACCCCCCCCCCCCCCTCCCACCTTCCATGGCCGCCCCACCTCCAAAGTCGATGCGACGGGCCTGGGATATTTGTGTCTGCATGCATGAGTGTGTGTAGTGTGTGTAGTGTGTGGTCAGGTGTATGTATGTATGTGTGCAAGCTTTGGTTCTACATAACGTTCTATCAAAGTACGTTCTTTTGTATTTGTGCGATGTTTTGCTGACAGGGCAAAGGAGTGGTATGGCCTGTTCAGGACTTTGCTTGGGTAAGCAGTACTTTAAACACAGAAGGTGCAACTATTATGAAACTGCATGTCTGAGAAAACCAGAACAAGTGTGCAAGTTGATCTCTCCTCTTTCGCTCTAATGTTGCAGTTAAGTTTCCTTTTCAGGTGTTAAGCGACTGTGAAAATCCCTTGAGAAATGGCGTACCCTGAAAAATGGCGTACCTAAAATCCCATAATGTATGTGTATGTGTGTAGAACCAAACCACACCACAGGCGCGTACACAAAATAAACTATCAACAAAACTAAATCAAGCTAACATTACCTCCTCACCTTAGAAGGGGTCCGGGAAGTAGCATCGCTTGGCCACGCTAGCATCAAAGAAGACTAGAGCCAGCACCCCTGACGTAACAAGTAATAATGTCGAAAACAGCCGATATACAAGCGATGATAAAACAGCAAGCTACGTCTGCAATTAGCACGAACTATATATCGGCAGATAGAAGAACACCTTTTCTGGTACTGAGGAAATGTCCCCGATCATCCTGTTTGGCTTTTCTTGAAGTATAATTTTAGTTTTGTTCTACACTACCATGCTGACATACGTACAAACTCACACCTAGTACCTGCTCTGGAAAGCTGGTCTAGTCAGCAATTTCTACTCCAACACTGCTCCTTACGCTGCAGAACAAAGTGTACAGGGAAAAGTAGCGCTGATCACTTGTCACTCCAAATGACAAGATTCTCCTTCCAACCCCAACATTTTCTGGTGCGCCAGTTGATGCCGAACTGACTGAGGTTTTGCCTGCATTTTTTTGAATTTGAATACTTTCCTCAGTATAGTTTGCTCTGCAGCGATGGGAGTAGTGTTGGATTAGAAATTGCTGGCTAGATGTCGCGGAGAGGCCAGCTTCCCAGCGCAGGTATGAGGTTGGACGTAACGTTGAACTCGCTTAGGGCATGTTCGTTTGGTTGGATCCGGATCCTGATCGATTGAGTGGATCCTTTGGATCCGCCAAGGTCCAAAAAAAAACTTAAAGGGGAAGTATACCCTAAAATCAAATTTTCACCAGTTGTAGTCTTCGGGGTGCTGAGTCGAATGGTCTTTGTCCGAGGAAGCTGAGACTCTCCCTTCCTCCTGTATTCCCAATCGAACTCGCGCACTTCCACCGAAACTGGGTGACTGCGCCCTACTAGATAGGGATTAGTATGTAAAAGTCACTAAAAACGCCGTTTCGTTCTTATAAAAGCGCGGATGACCGCGATTGGTTCGTATGTTGTAGTCTTTTGGCGGCTGAGTCAACTGGTTTTGGTTCGAAAAGGCTGCGATGCAGCATTCGGCCCTTATTCTCAATCGAACACGGTTGAGTAAGTGGTCACGTGCTCATTTACATTTGGGCCCGTTTATGTCACTCGAGTTGAACCTTTGAACCAGGGAGTCGTAAAAGCCTCTTACGACTCCCTGCTTTGAACCTTTGAGTTGAACCTTGATGTGAAAATTGTAGCCTGCAGCCAGTGCAGGCACGGTGACCAGGCAACTGGTGTACGCATGAGCACGTGACCGCTTACTCAACTGTGTTCGATTGGGAATAAGGGCCGAACGCTGCATCGCAGCCTTTTCGGACCAAAACCAGTCGACTCAGCGGCCAAAAGACTACAACATACGGACCAATCGAAATGGCCTAAATATCACATTATTTATGGGTGTACAAATGAGTCACACCACAGCGTATACGAACAAGCTACGAACAATACTCCATCAAGTAGGGACTTCAATTGAAAAACCAAATTCGCGAGTTTCGCATAAAACACTAGTTTTCTACACCTTGAAGATGTGAGAAACAACCGGAACCCTAAATTCCAAGACAATCTAGAGTTATAGTCGATTGAAGATCGGAAAACGGGGGAGAAATTAGTCACGGAAGTAAATGCAAGTATGTATGTGAGCCGTGTGGTTTCCGTCCAGCACTGCACTATCTGGTGCATACATTGCGATACAGGATGTGTGCATGCATGCAGTGTGCACGCAGGCCGTGCGCGCCTACTTGCACAAGTCACACGTTTTCACCGTCACTGCTTTTACAGTGTGCGCGCAGTTCACTTGATTTTTTTCGTCTACCACCAGGAAATCGCCGTGGGCTGGTTTCTGTGATCATTTTCCTTCTACCGCGATAAGGCGTGAGCCTCAATGTTCTTGAATCCTCTTGGGTTAGGCTAATTTGAGGCCGCTGAAAACGAAAATCGGGTGTTCCTCACGGGGCCGAGTACGGATCTGGTCAAAATTAGTACTTCGAAGTGCATCCGTGCCAAGCTCAGAGGCATTATTTTTGGAAGCATGGCATGTGTGGCACCATTGTGAAGGTAATGACCTTAGCTCCCTAAAAATAGCATCGACACGGCCGAAAAGGCCGCGGGAGAAGATACTTGGGCCTCGAACTGCATCTCGAACTGCAGCCACGAGGCGCCCATTCACTTTGTACAGGCGAGCTGTGACTGCATTTTTCGCTTTTCAGCGACCGGAACTGAACTCCCTACATCAAGCCAACATTGCCTCACCTTAGAAGAGTGTCTGGAGCAGTACCTCTTAGCCAAGCCAGGACCTCAGAAGACGAGGGCAATCACCCCCTGGCGCAACAAATAATCGTCTTGAAAATAGCCAATTTACAAGCGCTGGCAAAACAGCCAGCTACATCCTCAATTGGCAAGAACTATACACCGGCAGATAGTAGAACATCTCTTCGAGCGCTGAGGACACGCCCCCCGTCTTCCTTTTGGGTTTTTCTTGAAAGAAACCTTTTTGAATTTTTCCACTCGACCATGCTGAAATACGGCCAAAGTCATACCTCCGCAGGAAAGCTCGCCCCTCCGCGACGTCTCCTCAGCAACTTCTACTCCAACACCACTCCCAACGCCGCAGCTGAACAGCAACTCGAGAGAGATGACGACTCGCGTGCAGCGGATGACGACAGCGACACAGGGTCAAACATGAGTCGAGCGAAAGCGACGCAAACTGAGCTCTCTGCTCATTCCGCCAACAGTTTCTCTTGTAAGGACACTGTACATAGGCTGAACCACCTTCGTCGAGTTATTTACAGTCGATGCAAACTGTTCTTGACCTGTTCTAAGCGTTTTCATATCCATCGAAAATCCATCACGAAGTTTTTGTTAACGGAGGAAGTGCAAACTTTGACACGCTCTTTACATAATCAATTGACATCGGAATAGTTTGATTTGACTGAGCTTGAGTTCAGGGGACATCAACATGAACTAATTCAGTCTGTTGAGATACTGGATCATTGTCCTTTGGCTTGTGCTTGTCTACGGAAAGAACACGATTTCCAGAGTGTGTGCTGCTTGGGTGGCATTCATCCGCTCAGCGATCAGAGTATGCCTCTCGTTTGCAGTCAACGGTTTCCCTGCAGAGCCCTCAAAAATCACCACGTACAGCTCCATGCGCTCCCTCTCCATTGCTGAGCCGAACATTCGGCATTATGGAAGAAGTTGGCAGTCTAGAAGTCAAAACTCAAAATAATCAAAAGTGCTCCCGCCGTGTTCCGCTGCAATCTGCATCCCACCGGGCTGCACAGTGGTGCCCTTGGTGGTGGGAAACCTTGGTGGTGGGAAACCTTGGTGGTGGGAAACCTTGGTGGTGGGAAACCTTGGTGGTGGGAAACCTTGGTGGTGGGAAACCTTGGTGGTGGGAAACCTTGGTGGTGGGAAACCTTGGTGGTGGGAAACCTTGGTGGTGGGAAACCTTGGTGGTGGGAAACCTTGGTGGTGGGAAACCTTGGTGGTGGGAAACCTTGGTGGTGGGAAACCTTGGTGGTGGGAAACCTTGGTGGTGGGAAACCTTGGTGGTGGGAAACCTTGGTGGTGGGAAACCTTGTTGGTGGGAAACCTTGGTGGTGGGAAACCTTGGTGGTGGGAAACCTTGGTGGTGGGAAACCTTGGTGGTGGGAAACCTTGGTGGTGGGAAACCTTGGTGATGGGAAACCTTGGTGGTGGGAAACCTTGTTGGTGGGAAACCTTGGTGGTGGGAAACCTTTTCCGTGTTTGCGCTGGCGGGAACCGATTCACCGTGACAACTTTCACATTCCGCTTGCTTTTTACACCAGTCTGAACGCGCCCTAAGCCTGTGTTTTTTTTTGGGGGGGGGGGGGGTGGGGGGTGCTAAACACGTACATTTTCTGAGCGATGAGCGTTAGCATGCTAACGCGAGTTAGCAGCCAGCCCAGCGAGCTGGCCCAACCTGCACGCATGCGCATGTCACGTGGGCACACGCCCTACAATGTCTCTTGCATGTCATTGCTGTTTGGACTTTCGAGCGTGAAACTTGCGGAACATGTGTTCCCAAACGGTTTCCTTCCCACCCTCCCACCCACTTGCTCATCTCATGTTTCTGGCGCACACATGACGGTATCTGTATAGTCCATGAGAATATAATATGCTCTCAACTGGTTATGCATCTCTATATATTTAGCATTTGGCAGCTCTACTCAGAGTCATTGGCGGCTCCATGCGGAGGCATTGACGGCTCCATGCGGAGTCATTCGGCGGCTCATTGCAGAGTAATTGGCGGCTCCATGCGGAGTAATTTGGCGGCTCCATGCGGAGTCATTCGCCGGCTCCATACGGAGTCATTCGCCGGCTAGATGCAGAGTCATTCGCCGGCTCCATGCGGAGTCATTCGCCGGCTCCATGCGGAGTCATTTGCCGGCTCCATGCGGAGTCATTCGCCGGCGCCATGCAGAGTCATTTGCCGGCACCATACGGAGTCATTCGCCGGCTCCATGCGAAGTCATTTGCCGGCTCCATGCGGAGTCATTCTCCTGCTCCAAGCGGAGTCATTTGCTGGCTCAGCTGCGAGCCATCTAGCGGCTCCAAGCAGAGCCATCATACCAGTTGCTCGAATCGGCACTCCCAGCAAAAACTCGGTTGCTCTGTTGTGAGGTGGGGGGATGCTAAAAATAAATAATTTCGAACATTTTGACATACTTTTAGAAATACTACTCTCCTTCTGCCCTTAGTATGCATTGGAAAT